AGGACATGCATTGAAAATGGAAGCGTAACTGTTATGATTAATGATCTGCTGGAAAATGTACATTAATAAGATTTAAATAAGTTATTGATAAAAAAAATCTATGGCATAAATGGTCATAATTATTTCCTTGTTATCATACTAGTGTAAATCCTCAACTTGCAGACATACAATAAAAAAGAACAACAACCCTTACATCACAATTTTTCAGGATTTCTCCTAAAATGAAGACTACTACATCAAAAGGCAAACAATAATACCACAAGTTACTTTGGGATACAGTAAGAATAGGCAATAAAATTATACCATTACCACGGCATTGAATCGCATATGCAACAGGATATATGCAACTACTCCATACTGCGAAATACAAAAACAACTTAAGATTTACATTATCCGGACTCTGTTTTGAATAATTCTGAATATATCTTGTTTTCTAGAAAATCGAAATACAGGGATAGAATTCTGTTATTTAGGAGTCGTTAGTTGGTCAGAAAGGAAATATGACATTTTAAATATGTTAGACATACACTATTTGAAAGCTATATTGTTTTTTTTAAACGTTGATATGGATTAAAATAATAACAATAACATTCTTGCCAGTACCTCTCCTAGCCAGTTGAATTGGACGGTAGAAACATTGATGAAAAACTATGACTTCCCTAAGAGGCCAAAAGTGTTCTATATGAATAATGTCGATATAATATATTTATTATTTTTTCTAATTTCATAATAAACAGTAAACTTAGGACTGTACTTTGCTAGATATAATAATAGATTAACAAAGTAATTAGTTTATTATTTAGAAGCAATTAACCTATTGATCTAATATTCTAATTTATATGTCCAAATTCATTAGCAATAAATATAACTAATATTACGAGTAACAAAATTATTTTAAAATAGCAATTAGAACTAATCGTATAATTCAAAGTTAATGTAAATGGTTCCGGCAATAATATATATCTGTACATATAAATAAAATTGAAGTGTCTGTTTGTAATATTGAAATAACCGTTTTTTACTTCATGCACATATGAATATAAATACATGTACATACACCAAAATAACATTGTTTACAATTTTTGTCTGTCTGTCTGTCCGTTTTTTCCGGCTAATCTCTGAAATGGTTGGACCGATTTTGACGGGACTTTTATTGGCAGGTAGCTTATGTAATAAGGAGTAACTCAGACTACTTTTATTTTAGAAAAATAAAGTGACACTAATTAACTTTTTGTTAAATTCCACGCGGACGAAGTTGCGGGTACAGTCAGTACACAATAAAATAATGATATAAATTAATATATATATATATATATTTAAGAGAATTTAATATTACATACAATATATGTTGGTCCCCGTGATACAGTCTATCTTACCCTCAAATTTATTTTTAGTCTTGAAACTGTAATAAACAATCAGATAGACACTTTAGTATGGATGACACAAACCTATAAGTTAGTTTGTAAGTCGTGATTACCAATTCACTAGAATGTTAGCTTGGTGGCTTCATAGCAATGTGTTGCATAGTGACAATTGCATTTGATAACGCCAATATATGATGAAATGGAAACATATAGGTATGCCGACATAATATTATTGAAAGTTCGTAAACAATTCACCTAACAATATCCGATTACCATCTGTGCTATTGTTTGGAGGCCAGTCGAAGCCGTCGCCTCCATAAATAATTCATACATAACATTAATATATTTGATCTATAAACGTTTTTTATAGCACTAGAATCGATTTTTTAGTGTAATGGTATGGTGCGCACCGCCTGCGATAACGGTAGGTTTACACTATTGATGGAGAATCATAGGATACGGATGAAGTAAGATAGATAGATAGAATATGCTTTATTTAACATACCGAAAAGAAATACAGAAAAGACATATATAAAATAACACACGGCGATTATTGCTGAAAGCAATCATTTCAAGGCAAGGTAAGAAACAGTTCACCAAAAGGTTTTTTTAATTGATAATGATTATTATATAGAGCTCCTCGCCTGCGCTAACGAGATCATATCAATATCAATGAATTAGTGGAATAAATTTGTCTATAGTGACGACTTCATCAGTTATTAACTACGTTGGTTTCCCGAACGTTGGTTTACCATGTATATTGTCTCACCTGAAGGTTGTATTAAACTATTTAAGAGATTAAGAAAAGAAACAAACTCTAAATGTCATTCACCCAGAATTTGTGACCGTAGTCAAAAAGTAGTTATAGTAAACATTATTTTTCAGTAAAACAACAATAATCAGAAGTGGATATAGGTACATATATAGTTTTGTAATTGTAGATTACTTTAAATCATTGAGAAATGTCAATACGAGTAATACTAAAAAGTAGAGCGTCTCCTAGTATGTTAGATGACAATTGCACAATTGGACCATTGAACTGCTCTGACCTGAAGGGACAAACTTATTATTAACTCTTCTAATATCCAGAGTGTAATAATAACACATAGTGGCATCGGTATTGAAATCTCAAGAGAAGTTTTTACATAACATAGAGTAATATTCTTACTCAACGACTATAAGTTACGTGATGATTCATAGTGCATAAAATGGCCGACCCTAGTAGATATAGATAATACTTATCAAAATACTCTGAAGGGGATTCACACTGGGCGCGTTCATAAAATCAGTCAATATGAATATTTCTTTATCATGTGTTATATTATGGGTTTGCATATGCTACGGATTTCTATATTGATAAACACGCAGAATTAAACGAGACATCTAAAATAAAATATGTTGGTAGTAAATTGTCATTACAACGATACTTCTCGCACGAAATTAATAATTTATCGCATTATTAGAGGGTTATTTCAATAAAAAATTCTAATAAATATAGTTTTAGAGCAATAAACTACCTCTAACCTACCTACGTCGCTAGTATTTAGTTTTGGCGAAACCATGTTCAACACAGAACATTTAACATTTTCACCAGAAATACCACTATTTCTTTAATCAGAAATAGTGGTATTAACTAAAAACGTCAACTGTACAAGAAATAATACCACATGACCGACATATTAGAAAATACTGTATTAGAATTACTGCATTTTGCATATAGTAAACTACAAGTTTTCCGTAAGAATTCACCGCGTAATTAGCGTCTCGCTTCTACTCTGCAAAGCCTCAATAGGAGTATGTCAATGCTGTTTATAATGTCTTTCGAATAACGAAATATGGATTTATTTATCATTTACTTAGAGAAAATTGCTATCCGCATATGTTAAAACTTACAGAAGGTAAAAAAATCATACACATAGTATTTAAAAAGTTATATTGTCAAAATTCCATTATAAGAACGCAACACTAAGATTCTGTAAATTGGTACACATACCTTAATCGTAAGGAATAGCTAGTAAAAAGAAGTAAACGTAACCCAAAACGTTGCATACGGGCTGATAACGATTTTCTGGAAACAAGCAGTTCAGCTCTATAGATAATACCATCCCCCGAGCTCCCTATAATTCTGATTTGAGTCTTATAGATTCCTAGAACGTAAGATCAAAATCACGTAATGTTATGTGATCAACTGTCACAGATATTCACAGTCTAGAATGTCCAGAATGCACAACGTGTTTTAAAACCCTATTTCTATAAATAACAAATTGTTCTTATATGTGGGACATACTCGTATTAAGATATTTATAATTGTGGAAAAAGGTGTCCAAAAATACTCTGCATAAATTTCGTGAGACTAGATACTTTACTAAATAGCTACTGGTTATAATGGTCTATTGATTTTGTTCTAGTTTTAGAATCAGGCAATTAATACAGTATAACAATACGTTCTTCGCTTGCTTCAGAGGCAATTTACCTTTTTACACGCTTACATTTTTTCTGCATGAAAAACTGTCCTAACATATTGCAGATAATCCTCCATCAAAATTTTCCCAGTTCCTATTTCTATTATACTCTCAATTCTTAACATAAAACCTATAAAGTTTAATCTTTACAATGCAGGTCAAATTTTAATTTACATAATACAGAAAATTAGGTACAAGAACGTTACCTAATGAGTTTGAAAATTTAAATCTGTAGTAATGAAGAAAGAATAGCTATATTATTTATAAAAAATGTGTTTAGGAGATAAATTAAAAATATATAATTATAGTAATAAAACAAACAGCAACACCAAACTGGCACATACATTAGCGCTTACATCCGGATTCCACATACCTACCTGCACTACAAGAAGTCAACATTTTGATAGAGGCCAAATTTAATGCTCAATATTATCATTATATTATTCAATCATTGAAATTATATATCCAATCTATAAAAAGAAGCCTCATCATGATACACGAAGGCGATGTTCATAATTATATGAGACCAGGTAGGAATGTTTATATGAAGCAAGGTGATGAAGATGAAGCAATGTAACATACATTGCTTCATTAATTAACCTCGGAAGCTCGAAATAGAGGAGATGGTAGTTTCCATTTTTGGTTATTCCGTACTTACTAGTAAAACTTGTATTAATATAATCTTGAAGATGCCTGTGCCGTTACTAGCTAATAGAATCTGTGCCCGACGACCCAAGAAAGTTTAGAAATTGTATAAAAACTTTATACTACAAAAATCTTAATCATACAGTGTGAATATAGACAATACACGTGCTACGAATAAATTGTGTTCGATTTGTTTCTGGCAGCGAGGCTGAGATAAGATTGATAAGAAGTATTAGTACGGTGTAGTACCAAGTGTGAGACAGCAGTGTGTGACGTGGTGTTTCGACAGTACATATGTTACGATCAGCTCATTGTCGTCGCTCGACCGCCAAAACGTCTAATGAAGGCAGTTTTTGCAACTTCCAGAGACGCTAATTTTATTATGGAAAACCGGTTTTCGATGGTTGCACGATTACAGATCATTAATATTATGATATAAAAGTAAATAATGCAATCACACTAATATTGATTATTATACTAATAATAATACTTAATGAGTAATTTATAAAATAATCAGATAAAACCTCACTTGACTATACACTTCCTTAAGCCCGCTCGTGGTGAAATCCCAAATTGGAACACGTTTGCGATGAAATCGTCTGATCACAAGCACAACCACTAGCAACTGACACAGAATATTACTCAACACACAGGAACCAAACTAGGTACAGAGAAAAGCAATTGTAACACTTGTGATAATAATCTCCAATTCTCATTCATACAAGTATAATACATGAGCGTTTCAGACCTTGTTTCCTAAGTCAAAGGTATTGCATAAAAAAAAATAACGCAAAAATAAAAGCAGCACGACGATCATGTGAACACTTGCTTCTATTAGCGCTGCGCACTGGTGACTGAACGGAGCAGACGATCGCGCACGAAGCACGAACACGAATCAATGTTGCGCAGCGCACACCGCCGCGAGGGCTGCGTGTGTACACACCACGGACGCGCACACCCACACCGGGGACACCTAGTCAAGAGTCCGGGCCGGGACAGAGGGACACCATTGTCTCGCCAAAGGGGGCTGTCAGAAGTACCTGTTCGACCACTACCAGTGAATGAACCCTATTTGACCCCTACAATATTTTCATTATACCCATTACTGAGAGATGATGGACGATTCTATAAAATAAAGAATTTATATTTTCAATGTCATCCAAACTTACTTTTAAACATAATTAGGTAGTACTACAATTATTTTAAAAAATTTTTACTCATTTGTTCAAAATATTTTCTTCTAGAAATAGAGAGATTTTAATATATAAATACGAATATACTATGTACAGCGTTGACTGCTTTGTCTAAAAAAAATACATATTATTAAACGGGGCAACAATCTGTAGATATAACATTAAAAATCCAGTTAATACCAGACAGACAACATATGTGAATGAGCTCGTAAAACATTGGTACACAATTTAATAATCTTTGTCTAAGTACGAATTTCTACTATTACCATAACAGAAATTGACAGGCATTGATAGATAGAAATCCTTGTTCCATTCCTAAGAGAGAAAACTGGTGCAGCTATAAACTACGAAAATTCTACCGATTACTAATTTTATATTTCCATTCACTCATTACAAAATAAATAGTAAACGAACTTTTAGTAACGAATTTTTAACGAAGACAAGACAGAATAGACTTTGCAGAAATGTAATTAGAAACCACGAAAAAGTAAAGCCTACAGACAGTCATAGTGAATCTTATCATTATTTACGGAGTAAAAAGTGTTAACGAATGATAAATTTAATAGGATACAAGTAATCCTAACGCAAAACATCATAAAACAATATAAGTAATATTCCATTAAGATTAAAATCTTATTAAATTATTTACAATTCAACAAGTTGTAATTATACAAATATATATTTTTAATTCATAATAATAAAAGGACAACAGCCTGCAGTGGGCCTTTGGAAAATAACTTCAAAACACTCAGAAATAGAACATAATTATAAAAATACGATAAAGATACTGAGTTATATCAATAGACAATGCAAATACTAAACATATAAAATACTAAATGTAACTAAATGCAAAGATAACAGATACTATCACTATATCAGAACTTGTGTGAAAGAATAATAAACCCTCCGTTGGAAAAAAATAAATTAAATGAATAATTACAATAAATATCATTTTTTTAAAGTTATTACTTTTAACGTACACTAACTGACCACAGCAACTTTATATTCGTCACATTATCCTCGTTTCGGCAACATTTTTCATTGCTGCCTTCCTCGATTAATAAGCTTTCGAACACTAAAATATTTTTTCAATTCGACCCAATAGTTCCAGATTAGCATGTTGAACTAAGGAAATACTTTTCAGCCTTATATACAAGCTGACCCGCACAACTTCCGTCTGCATCACATTTTCCCTGTTTTGCAACATTTATCATTGCTGCACTGCTCTTATTGGTAGTAGCGTTATATGTAAGCCTACGATAGTCACAAATAACGTGGTTTTCTATTGATAAAACAATTTTTAACTTACAACCCCACAAACTTTACCTCTTATTAATAAATGAGTACAGATTATTGAAAACCTAAATGTTTAAGTTTTAGATTACAAGTATGATTTGATAAAACTTATAAAAACATAATAAACATATTAAAAAATTATACAATTTTACGAGGTATTTAAAAAAATATTATTCATAGCGAGTAACATCGCGATTAGATATAATCTATTGCTTACGTTGTTAGAACTTCCGCTGATCTTTAGAGACAAATATATTATTATATTATCTCTCCTCCCTGTAGTAGTTAGTATATGGTTGTGTAATCTTGTTTATCATTGTCTAAAAACTTTCGAACCTTCAATTATATTTGTACAAGGATAGCATAAAAAGTATAAATCTTCTTTATACACGGAAATAGGGCAAATTGGCCGATACAGCTGTTACTATTTTCAAATTATAAAAAACTATTCAAGATAATGTCATTCAGTCTAATAATAACTAAATTCACTGTTAGTACGAAATTTTCTTAGTGTTTGTTAGTTCGTTGATAATAATCGATGCCAAATCCCACAACCGTCAGTCTAATTTAAACAGTAAAGTGTTGTATTTTCAAACGTTTGAACAATATGTGAAAACTAAAATCTTAATTTCTATCGATACAAGAAGTTAACATAGAATCAGACATACAATTTGACGAATCAAGGTTAAAAAACTGCCAGAACACAGGAAGTAATTTGATGAAATCTATTGACGATGAGATTATGTAGCGAACCGTGAACCTAGTCAATCACTAAGCACGCATTAGAATAACTTCGCACCATAACAAAAAATAAATAGGTTCATACAGAGTAATAGATATGAATTCAAATTTATATGAATAAGGTTATATCTGTAAATTTTACAAATTATATTACAATCAAAACGTAACAAAGTAGTCATTTTTATACTTGGAATGTTACAACAAACAAACAACTTTGAAACAAAAGTGAATTAATAATGATAATCAATAAAATATGATTACAAAATAATCTACATATTAATAAATTACGGTACGGTACGGTAAAAAAAAGAATTTAATCATTTAATGAATAGAATGAATTCTATTCATTTAATAACAGATAAATTGTATTAAAAATAAGGAATAATATTTTTTAGTACTGAAACAGATAATACGGCCTAACAACCCATTATTGTTCAAAACTGGTCCTAATAAGAGGAGGATTTAGCCTACCATTACCACTGTGGCTAGGCGGTTTTGGAAAAGGTTTTATTTTGAAGTTCTCCTTCCCTTGTAGCTGGTGCTGAGTTTTGTTACCACCACACACTTCGCCTAAAATGATCCATGACATGACATTAAGTGATTCTTATTCTTACTTCATCGCCACACGAGTACAAACAATATGAGTAAAAATAACACTGAAGTCAATACGCCGAGTGTGTTATAGACACAAATGCACTGTTTATAAATATTTCTTATATTTTGACTACTCATAGTAACCGTTGTTGGAAGAGAGATGAATTTTGATGCAACTTTTCATAAACAAGTTGAATAACACAAAAGAATGACATACGTTAAAGATGCACTGCATTTTGCTATTATTGTTGCTGGCACAAAAGCGCTATACAAAAAAGTTGATAATATATAGGTACTTCTTAGTACAAAAAGCTATAGTCTCACCTCTACATAATGGTTGTCTGTATGTGTAACCGGGTAGAGATTTGCATTGGGGAGACCCGGATGAGACGTGCGCCGCGCACCTGAGACTAACATGGTTTAACGGCATCAATAGAGAAGCGCGCTACTAGTGTACAGATTAGTTAATACCAACTTAGCAGATAAGATAAGCTCTAAGCTGTTGTGAGTAATTTGTTCATAATCCTAGCTTCACACTCAGTATTGATTGATGAAACCTCAGACTAATTAGCATTGTGATGGTACCCTTTACAAAAATGATAAATCAAATCGGTTTATCATTAATTGTGCTTCGATAATTTATGGAATTTGAAATTGGGTTCATAGGAGTACACAAACAAGCTCTATAAACATCACGTTGCGAACTTTAGAAATACAAGTCAATCTTACAGTTAACACTTCCAGTTGTGAAATATGGTATTGTGAATATCTTCACTTAAAAATAGATAAATGTCTTAGAATAAATAACATATGTAATGGGAAATATGCATCTACTAAAAATATTAATGCAACATAACCAGTAAAAACAGTCGATGGGAATTATTCGATGATAATATTGTACAACCGTGTAGTGTAATAACCCATTAATTTAACTATTGATCTACCTTTTTCACAACATGTAAACATTTGTACGGATACAATTTACAATCCTATGTGGCTAATATTGGTCCACAATAAATCCTTTGCAGCGTAACACGGGCCAATATTTCACAATAACTCTATTGATTCTGTGTAGATTAGCCACATTATCTACGTAACAGCTGGCGATGATAACAACGGGAACTTTCCATGACACAAAACGATAATTAAAAACGAAAATTACCTTCTTCACAAAAATATGCATCATACAAAGTTTTTGCATCATACATATTTGAGTACTGTAGGTATAATTGTCAATGAAAGATAATAGTTTGTTATGAACACTTGATAATTTACTTACAGTTATGTACTCTTTCATGATTTTATTCAATATTATCAATATTAAACATTAAAAATCGATATAATAAGAAACTCTGTATATACTAATTCTATATCCCAAATTGTCATCTCCCTGATCCATGTCCATGTGAATCAACCTGGACATGATTATTTACTTCCGTCCAATAGACATATCTAACATATAGTACAATTCAAGTTTCCGAAATTAAAATTTAGAGTAGATCTTTTTACGTTTTGACATACTCCGGTATTGTACTAGATGTGTGAAATACTAGTATTGGTATTATCTATTTTCTTTACGGTGAAATACAAATCCAGATTGTCTGTACTATAAGGCCATTCACCCAAGTCTGTTGTTACAGTAAGTATACATTCATATCGCAATACAATCAAAAACTAAAAAACAACATGTAAAATAAAGGTATTAAATCCTATTAACCTTCACCTTATCGTCAAATCCAAATATAGAATAAAATTGTCCGCCGACAAATCGCCCACCACCTTATCACTATGAATGATATCACGATCACTAGAAATACTGAAACTATGCCTACATCATTTATAACGATAATTAATAATGAATTGTTTATCTAATACCTTATTAACGCAAAATCTGCACAAGTACGTTCTGAATTTTGTTTACTAACAGTACATTGCAGATAGTAACCTGGTATCACATTTGATAAAATACAATAAAAGAAAGGAAATAATTTGTTATAATATCATTACGATCAAAGGGAACAATGAAGAAGGGAAGGGTG